TGAACCACACTGTTGCACTAAATTTAAAATGTTCTCTTTCATCCTGATTGCAATGCATTTTTAATTAGTTTCACAGCGTCCCTGTTTTAAAGAACTCAGTTCACATATATTTAAAGATATATATGTAGTGTGAGGTTAAAAGGCATAGGGATGAGTAGCTGTCTTTCCATATCATTGACAAGCAAACTTGTTAATTGTGGCACAAAAAAGAAAAGAAAATGTGAATTAGACGTGTTTCTTTCTAATAAACTACGCTACATTCTGGCAATGGTGGCAGTACCTCACACATTCCTGTAAGAAACAGTAGAAGAAGTAACGGTTACATATCAGAAACAAACACAAGCTATATTCAACCACCAATAAACCGTGAAGAAGAAGAAGAAACAAGCCAGTTGCTGTGGGAGAAAACATTGAGAGAGAGCTTCACTGTCATCTTCTTCTTTTGATATGTTGTATGAGTTCTTTTTTTTTTTTTTTACAACAGAACAGAAAAGGTGTTTCCGTCACCCAGCCTGCATTTTACCACTTTTTGAATGAGGCACCTCCTCGCATGAGTACGATAACGTTTTTTGAGCAGTTAAGGAAGCTTGGGACAGGGTTAAAAAGTTGGAAGGTGGAAGACAGTGTGAAGGGGTCGATATTCTTCAAAGTGATTGTCAGAGGATTGAGCGGCATCTGAAAAGTCTTCCTGCATCTTTCCAGTGTTGTTGAGGTGCTATGTCAGACACTTTTTCGTAACTAATCTCTCAAACAAGTTACACAGGAGTGTGGAGGTGCAGGATTTGAACATTTCTCAAGCTCTCTCTCTCTTGCACAGCCCCATGAGTGTCTCCCAGGACAGACTGAATGCATGAGTGTGACCATTCAGAAAAATGATGAATACCTGCGTGGAAGTGGTTGGATGACACAGTACTCAGCTCCCAGTGCATTGCTGCTTTTGGTCTTTCAATGGACTTCACTATCAATGAGAAAAAGCAGAGAATAACACCTGTGTTATCTTTTAAAGTGTGCCGTTGTCACCTTTACTGAACAGCCGCCTCTGTGACATAATGGTGAATGTGATAGTGTTACACATGTAGAGAACTGATGTAATGTCATCACACTGACTCACTGCTGTATGTTAGGCTGCAGTTGGTGACGTCAGCCCTCATTGATCATTGGTCAAACTGGACATAGTAATACTGGAGCAGCCAATTCTCTGTGTGTTTTGTTGTTAATAAGAGGGAGTTTTACAGCTTATGAATTCAGGTTTTCCTTTCCTTATTTCAACTTCATATACTGCAATTGTATGTTTTCATTTATTTTAGCATCAGATTGTCTCAAATTACACGTCTTTGATATCTGTGCATGCCTGTGTGTCCCCGCTTGCATACGAGGGCATAGATGCATGAGGGTAACCGAGCCCTTGAATATTTATATATTTGTGAGCTAAGGCCTGGCTGCCTCCAGTAGGATAGAGGTGTTGGTGGTGCTCAGCAGGAGGAGACGGGAGCAGGGGGAAGATAGAGGGGAAAGAGAGAGTCCCTCAGGCGTGTCCGGGCTCTGATGGCTCCCCTGACAACCTCCTCTGTAATGGTCTCCCTCTCTCTCTGAGTGCTGTGAAATTGCAGGCCGGCGCTCTACAGCTGAGGACTCAGAGGAGACAAACGGCCTTTTAATTCAGAGCGCAGAGAGGTGACGGAGAGGGAGGCCCTAAGGGAGGGCTACCAATCAGACATCCATCATACTAACCTCTCCCTTGGGACTGGCCCTGCCAAAGAGGGGCCCTGGAGGTGGTCTTGAGCATACATGTGTGCGAGCGCATGTGCATGTGTGCGCGTCTTTGGGGCTGGGGTGACACCGCATGCATGGAATGGCAGCAGCAGGAGGAGGGAGGAGGAGAAGGGAGGAACCCTGGGCTGCTCAGGTGTCCAGGCTGTCATGGTGCAGAGTGGACCAGTGAGGATGAATTTGGTGTGTGGGGGTATATTCTCTTTTTCTCCCCTCATGTCATTTACATGCACCTTTTTTTTGTTTATATTTATATCCATCCCTTTATTTCCCATGTTGGCTTCCTTCTATCCCATAGTGGGATAGAAGCAATGGCAGCAAACACCAAGGTTAAAAAATATATATATTTTACAATTGATTATTCCAAAGTTAACCTTCCCTCAGCCTGTGCTTTTCTGTAGGAGCCTGGACTGAAGAGACACCAGTGTTAAAGGGTTTGTGGACATTTCTGACTGTGGTTAAATGATTCCTTGTACCAGTGCAATACAAACCAAAAAAAGAGAGGGAAAGATGTGCGGCTGCAGTAATATTTCATGAAGGCCTCTCAGTTAAAGAAGAGGACTGATACTTAAACCACTCATAATGTTGATCCTTGAAAATATGTGTTGTGATGGTCTGTATGGTTGTGTAAACATGTTGTAGTGTCCAAACAAAGCTCTTATCCTCCAAAATAAATAGCTATATACTGCGTTAATTAATTTATAAAATGGTTGATTCAAATTGTTCCTAGTTGATTTACAAATCATCCATGAGTCCTCTTATGCAACTTCAAGTCAGCTCGAAGGCTTTCTGATCTTTATTCCTTGTGGTTAATGACAAACCAACCCACCATCCTGTGTAAAGGCTTCTCTAATTTGCCTTGGATTTCACCAATGAAAGGATCCAAACTTAAAATAAATCCCAGGGTAGATTTAACTGAGCTTTACTTTTGGATTGTAGACAATTCTAATTAAATTCT